AATAATGTTACCGCAAACATTATTTTTTTGTATTTTTAGTATCCAAGCTCATCCATTACTTAAGTAAACAAGTATACAGATTCTATGTTGAGTCTGGGTATATCACTCAGATTCAACATTTAATATTGTGTTGTACCGTAACCTTCCTCTATATTAGATATTTGAGTTACATCTTATAATTGTAATAGATAAATTTATTTAAAGACATAATGTCCAAGAATAAATTAATTGCTACATTAAAATTTATTATTAAAATTTTCTAGGAGGTTGTACGTTTATGATGGCTAGGGTTTAAGACTATGCATTTATAAAGTTTTTTTAGATTACTTCTAAGACACTCAACTACATATGAATGTATTATAGATACATATACAGTAACATTTTTTATTACAGGGGAATGACTCCCCTACACCGCGCACTGAACTACAATCCTAATTAATATATATTTATTAGAGTTAAAAAAAACAGAAATGAACATTTATTTATAATTAATGTACTCATGATAACTAAAATAATCATTATAATTGCATGAATTCTTGAACCCTAAACATGAAAATAATTTCAGTAATATTTTTTAGCATTTTTTAGTTACATATTGTTTTAATTTACCAATTATTTATTCTTCGGTTCATATTTTTAATTTTTATAAGTATATCAATACACATATTAAGCTTGCTTATAAAATAGAAATTTATCTAATTAAAACAGGTTAATAATAATTTTTGGATCAGTATGGTCCAAAGTTTTTATTGATAAAAATAATAAAATTCGCGCCTCTCCTCCTGTTATTACCTAAAGTTGTTAATAAATTAAAAATTAATAGATAGTAAATATATATGTTAATCAGTCGGTTGTTCGGTTGACTGCGCTTTGGTTCAAAACTGAGCGAAGGGATAAAGTGGTGTATTTTGTTCGTGCGAGTTGTAAGGAGTCATTTCAACGAATATTTGCGGCTGACTCTCGTTGGATGTGCTGCACTAGCTGGACTTTGTACTGTGGCGTATGGCATGCGGTTTAGTTGGTCAAACTACCATATTACACTTGGTAGGGCTGATAAAGGTGGCGCAGGGCTACGTGTATCACTAAGAGACGCAGGCGCCGTGTCAATATACTACAAAAAATATTGTAGAGGTCGTCTTACAGCGTTTTAAAAATAAATGTTATCAACATTTTGATAGGCTGTTGACGGTGTAAGATTAATCATTGTTTTATGTATCGTTCTAAATATATAATATCAGTTTCAAAATTTAAAAACCATTGGAAAGAGACAAATTTAATTTCCAAAGTGCTTTAGAGTTATTAATCATGGGTCATATATCTATTAAATACCATAACGTCGTGTCTCTGACGTTTTTGGTTTTAGGAACTTCCGTTAAACTGGACATTTCAGATGACGATGGGTATGTCTGTAAAGGTATCGTGAGCAGATAGCTCGAGTTTTGGAACTAACTCGAGTATAGGTACAAGGATAAACTTTTGTTGGTAATTTTTGAAGCAACAGTCACTGGCGTTAAACATCAATCAAAATCAGGGTCATTCGAAATTCAAAAAAGTACTTGACCGCAAAAATTTTTAAGCTATTATTTTTCAACAAGGTGCTGACTATTACCACCATAAATCAGTAAACCATAANATTATTTTTCAACAAGGTGCTGACTATTACCACCATAAATCAGTTATCTATGAGTTCATAAGATGATCCTCAAAATGACATGATTCGCGTAGCTAACGTATATTGTGATCCTATAACATATTCATACTCACATTGATCATTGTTATGTTAATTTTGAATATAAAAGCTTTTACAGGCTAAACATACAGTAAAATGGAATACTGTATATTACATTTATTGATTAACCATTTTACATTTTTTTTTTTTAAATACAATTAATAAAAAAAAAATCGAAAAGTATTTAATCTATATAAAAATAAATGTACAAAAGTTGATGGGACTAGTAAAATTTAAATTGAGGATGGAACTTATTTTTTAACGATTATTAAATTAGTATATAGGTTTTTCTTTAACGTTGTAAAATATGCTTAAATTGGTTATCAAGTAATAAATTAATCACTTCCAAATTTATATCTTAAAATTTAGATAACTCGAATAAATAAAATTAGATACTTTGAATAAAAGTTAATAATCATTTGTTTTTTGTTTTTGAGTAAACAAAAGATTTAAAATGAAATTTAGAAGTGCCCAATTTTTTTACTTAGCTCATTTTATAATACAAATAATTTTAATGAGCGAACAAACTTGCTTTATTTTAATATAGGTATACTGAGTATTAAAGTATTTTTTTCAACTATGATTCTTGCTTAAAAAAAATAAAGAAACACCTTAAATCTCTTTTATAGATAATGAAAAATGGTTAAAAGCTCTCAGTTTTCAACTAGTGTAACTTATATTACACGAGCAGTGAAAGTCAACAGTAAGAGTAACAAAATAGAAATGTCTCATCTTATAATTTTTAAATTAATACAAAATAAATTAAAGAAAAATCACATTAATGGTTTTGCCTGAATAAAATTATAAATATGTATTTTGTTTGTTATATTTTTAATTGCACTTAACAGATCTTTTTTTCAAGTTATAAACTTAAATATACTCTACACTAAATAGCATTTTCTTACTCCTAATAAAACAGAATTGAGATGATATCTAGTAAAACACTTTAACTTGTGAATTGAAAATATACCAGAAGTATAAATATAAACAAAACTTTGTAAACAAATTCTGAGATGTCATAAGAACTGACATGTTATCAATCAATTGAAAATATGTTTGTAGTGATTATAAACAATTTTTGCAGTTCACTTGTTTCGTTATGAAGTATACATATTTCTATTAACTATTTAAATACTAAACCATTTAATAATATTCAGTATCTAATGATCAAATATTATTATTTAATCATTCATATGTATAAATCATACGAATTGCATTATTAAAACACGGGAAAAGAAGAGTTAACTTTACTTTTTTTCTGGTAAAATTTAGCCTTATCATTGGTTTACGTCATTTAATGTTAAGATGGTTATTTATTATTTCCGTTTTGTATCTTCAGGTTTCGACGTGTTTTATGAGCTGGTGTCGAATTTAACCATAAGAGAGTGCCTGATAAAGACCAAACAATGTACAAGTTTTATAAATTTAAAAAAATTGATTGAACTACGTCTGCCATAATGCGTAGGATTTTGTAATAATAGTAGCCCAGTACAGCAATAAAATATTTTATTTTTTTGCCCACTGATCTTTGCCTTAGTGATTGGCAAATGATATGATACATACATTTCTCATTGTTATAGACAGGGTAGTATTAAAATTTGAAACGTCAGTTATTCTTGTAAGTCTTTATTTTTAACACAGCAAATTTATTCATGCCTGGTTACTACTCGTAAAGTTAATAATATTGAATTTTCTTATAATACATATTTTCAATACATGTAAAAAGTAACTTAATAATAAAATAAAATTTGAATTGTATAGATTGTAAATGCATATTTGTACATAAAATAACATAGTCACATTGGGAATATTTTTATATTATGTATGATAAAATAAATTATTTTAAACATATTTTGTGCTTTGACATAAATTTATGAAAAAATGATAGGAGGCTAAGCTCATTTTTCCCTCACTCTAAATTTTTCTTTTTATAAAAGTATATATAATTTGTTTATTTTGACACGGTACTGTGTTTCCCTCAGCCGCACATCACGTTATCAACCTAAATGAAAATTTCGGGATCTGAATCATAAGTGCACGGTGGCCTAGTGGTAAGGTTTGTCTTTACGACGCCTTGGGTTGCGGGTTCTAATCCCGTACCGTGCCTCTTTTTTTCACATGATTTCCGGTACACTTTCTATAACCGGCCGTCAATCCCCGGCCGCCGTGTTAATTTTAAAGAATCTTCATTCTGCGACTTGTTACGGAGTAATTAATGTTTAAAAAGACTAAGGGAATATATTATCTTTGTTTAAACCAATCTCACATTGTTTTTATTAAACGCTTCATTAAAAATGTTGATATTCTTTACTAAATAACACATCAAATTTTAATAAAGACACAAGAGAAATTTATAGAATCTTGATAAGATTTTTAGCAGTTTTTATGACGTATTGGTTGAGTATCATTTTGTTGAAGTATATATGTTTTATTGTATTACATATTTTTTAATAATTTTTTGTGAATAAATAAATGATTATGAGTTTTGGTGTAATAATTTATCAATTGTAAATTATATATTGGAAAAAACATTTTGAGCAAAATTTTCAACTCTATATAATGGTTTCTATTAGTACATTTTAAGATATTAAAGAAGGAAAAAACTTAAAAAAGAGGGTTGGTAGTGTAATTTTTATTAAAATATACGAAATCACCATAGAAAAAATATATTTTTCGATTCTTACAAATCTTCTACAGAAAATTTAGATGTAAACCCTTTAAATTTACTTTGGGGCCACCAACTTGTATTTGAAAAGGGAATAACTTCTATAAAGACTAACTTAAAATAAAGTAAAAATATAATTTGCTGTAAACAATCTTAGATATACAATCAAAGATATAATTGAACTCTAAAATAGTTTCAACGAGGTAAATCGAAGAGTTTTACTGTTCAACAAGTGGATGTATTGTCGCATTTGTTTTTACATGTTATTGTATTGAGATAAAACGAGTTTTAATAAACACAGGCACGCATAAATAGTAAAAGTAAAGAAAATTGATTTTTGAACAATAAGAAGTTTAAATATAAAAATTAAGAAATGTTTACCTCAAAAAGTTTATATTTGAAGTATTTTACGATTGTATAACGCAATGAGTTTTATAAATATAAGATATAATATAAAAGGTATATGCAATAATGAAACAATAAACATTTTTATTTTATTTTATTACAAAGAATTCAAGTTGGAAACTTGGTACTTAATTTAATAATGCATTGAAAATTAAGAGTTAACAACATTTTTGCTAATATATAGATAATCATTTTTTTTAGTTTGACGTCAGACAAATGATGGTCGACAGTACTGGAATGAGAGTAGAAAATATAAAACCAGAAACACCAATCGAATCTGAAACGTCCAGCTCAAAAAATTATAATGGGAATTTTAATACAAAAAACTGTTCAACGATATTAGAGAAAAATGCTCCAATAAGGTAATATTATAAATCGTATGTTTAAATAAAAAAAATAGTTAAAGATATTCATAAAACACGAGTATAGTATGCTTGTAATATATAATATATAAGTATAATAATCATAATAATTTTATTATAGTATATAAAAATTTAAGATTTTTAACTTTACTTTTTTAAAAGTTGAAATTAAAAATTTATTTATTTTTAAATAAATTATTACTATATATGTAAATATGCATTCAAAATACTTAGTATAATTTTGCTATTTTCTCGAAAACATTTTAGTATGAACCAAAATTATGGTATTAATTTATATAGAATCTATGTTATGTATTTATAATTCACTGAACAAAAGCAATTACAAAATATATGTTTTATTCTCAACACAATATGTTATTCTGATTATTTAATGACTTATAATCAATTCTATTTTGGTTTAAATTTGTAATTTTTCTTTGAACTTTACTATACTTTGTTCACTTATGCCATTAAAATAAGTTGAAAAATAATGTTTCTTATTTGTATATATCATTTTTGCTATAAAAAATGGAAAATATAGTTGTAAGCTGACAAAATAATAAACGAGACTCATGTTTTAAAATGTCTTAAAAAATTCCCCAAGCCCTGATAAAGGTTTGTTTATTATTTTATGTTTTGACTACAGTTCAGAGTGGCGTAGGAAAGACGAGTCTCTAAAGTTCGTTGAAGTGATCCAGTAACAAATAAAAAGCAAAAAGTTGTGACAAAACTTTATTTTATTTTAAATTTTGTGAAGTGTTTTTAAGAGTAGAACACATTTTTTAAACGTTTTGATTTGTCCAATGTCTAAACCCACATCATGAACTATAAGCTACATTTTTATAACTATTTAAATTCCTAAAATTTAATTAATCGTTTAACTTCTATTTCAATCAAACATAATTTTAACTATAAATAAAAGAAATTAACATGTACACCAGATGTGTGAAGATTGAAAATGAAGTTTCAATTAATTTAAAAAAAATATATGACATGCGATAGTTTACCTCTGGTATACAGAAATGAAATGAATACAATTTCCAATGCAGATTCCGATCATATTCTTCATTAATTAATTTAGTGGTGATGATTAGTTGTCGATTCATATCTCACGTTCATATTTAATTTTTAGTCAAATAATAGGCTCACCTTCAGGAAATTTTGTTAGAAGCACTCCTTTAACCTTCTTGAACCTTTACCGCATCTGCATATTTTTTTGTATGCATTTTGTGTATTTACCTATACCTTACGTTCTTTGCTTTGAGAATATTTAATACTTATTGACTGAAATAAAAGATACGTACTCGTGTAAAGCATACTCGCCAAAAACAATCGATACTTAATATACATAGATTATGTAAAAAAAGTTAAGGTGTTATCAGTACCTTCCACAAAAAATATTCACGACTAGAGAACCATTAATCCATCTTCATGTCAAGTCTAGGTCAATCATGTGTACACCATATGACAAGTGGTCTAAAGGAATTGTTTAGTAACTAACCTAAATAATTTGAGTTATTTTACGTTTTTTACCCAGATATATACTTAACATATGTTAAGTTTAACATGCTTAATTTTTTTACTTATAAGTAAACTATATACTATATACTATACTATCATCACTATATACTGAATTTCTTGATTGTTTTCATCAACGAAATTATGTTTAAACTGTAAATCCATTAGTAATTTAGTAATTAAGTTTATTTAAAAACTACAAAAGTAATTAAAACTTTAATTAAAAAATGTATTAAGTTGAATAATGCACTTAATTGAAAGTAAATAATAAACATGAAACAGTTTATCTATAAAAATTATAATCTAAAAATTTTACTGTAAGTAATATATTATATCTTATAATCAAAAATAATTTAAGTTTAAACATTCTAATATGTGTTGTAGAACATTTTATGCACTACAATGATATTTTTAGTATACAAATTTTGAAAATTTGACTTAAATATGCCGACATTTGTAAGTAGAAAAAATTTGTTTATCTCTTTAAAGTATCAAAAATTGATCATACATTGTATGCGTTAAATCCTCTATTATATGAATACTAAAATTCGTATTTATTTTTGAAAGTAAATAATAATTATTATTAAAGATTATTTATAAATTATAATCAAAATTCTATTATCTGACAATTTAATTTCGATATTTTAAAAGTTCAATATTAGATAAAACAAAATATGATTAAAACCGTTATTTCTATACATACTTGCAATAACGACTGAGCTATATAGTTGAACAATATACGTATTATATTAAAGTTGCCCTTTTCTGTAAAAAGCTATCTACCATAACCACATTGACTACTTAAATACTTGGTTAAGTGTTCATTAAAAGTATAACTCAGGTCTAAAACTCACAATGTCAGCACGGCAATATGTTTGTATCTATAATCTGTTTAATATGTGTCAATAATTAAGTAACGAGATTGTAAAAGTCTATTCAAAAATGCGTAGAAACATAAATTCGATGTTTTTACAAATAAATCTTTTTTTTTCACTTCCGTTAAAAAAAAAGAAATTATTGTTTTTGAGTGATTTATATTCACTAAGAATGGTGTTTGGGTATGCATAATTATTGTATTTCTGCATTTTAACGAATAAATTACCCAACTATTTAAACAAATTGTTTTTATATCATATTTTACTCGATAAAAACAATGTATATATAGTGTATATGAATACTCCTGTATATCATACAGAAGTATGTAAAATAAATATTCAATAGTACGCTTATATTCATTACTTGCGCTATACAGAATGATTTATTTGTTAATAACTACTTAATTAATCGAAAAATAAAAATTATATTGAAAATTTTTTGTTTGGTTTTTTTAAAATACATTTTAACCTTATAAGGTTATCATAAGGATTGAAAAGTATTTTTTAAGTGATCAATTAAAAAAAATATTTACTTTAAAGAAAGCAAAAAAAATTATAATTATTTTGATTAATTATGTGGTAATTGATAAAAGAATCATTCTGTATATAGCGAATGTAGTGAATATTAGCGTACTATTGCTACTTAATACTTGAAAATTTATTGTTTTTACTTTTTGTGTTTGCATTAAAATTATAGCTTCTATTATTATAAGCACTTATATTTGTATAACTGTATTTGTTATTGTGTATCAGGTCTTTTTACTTGATGAAAATAATGTTTAGTTAAATTATACTACACAATTAGTACATATATATAGGTTATAAATGAAAAAATTGAAGAATTCTCTTATTTTGTTTTATTATATAGCGATTTATTATTTCATTGTATTTTATAATCTAGTACATATTTATAGGTTTTGTCCGTTACTGTATTATTCTATAGATTTGTACAAAAAGCACAAAAAACTTTATTGGATGGAACACTTGGATTTTTGTTAGTTTCATAATAGATTGTGACTTGTAAAATCTGCAACTGGGCTTATTGCCAGTTTCCTTATATTTTATAAAATCAATGTCAACCGTTACGCTCTATAAGTTGTAATTCAAATACCGTCATGATTCTCGATAATACAATCTTATTATGTTATTGGTACTCTTTAAAGTTTTTCGGATATTAAAGTTTTGTAGAAAAAATTCAATTACAATAACCTAATAATTTTACCGTAAGTTTTCAGACAAACAAATTTAGATGCTATAACAATTATATTGTCATATAATAAATACATTTATTTATAATACATATCGTGTATTCTGTAAAACTAAATTTAAAGATCCTGCGTAGTATCAAAAAGTATGTAAAATTAAAATAAATCCACGTTTATCGATAAATTTTAAGACAATAAAATCCAAAATGTCTGTTTCTAAATTAGTTTATTTTTATTCTAAATAAATGATAAATAAATAATAACTACGATATTTTCTTTCCTAATTATTTGAAGAAACATAAATTTAGTTTAGAATAAGTTTAGAAAATAAAGGCTGCATATATTGGCGTATAATATATATTATATATTAATAGATTATGTTATTATACTTCACATAATAAATTGATTTGTCATACTTAAAAGCGTAAAAAGTACTATAATAATATTTTTTATAAAAAAAATTCTTTAATGTTGGCCATTGGATTTTAGTAGTCTTTTGTTTTTTTAACAATTACGATATTTGATTGTTTCTTCATCATTTGTTGTAACGGCTGATATATTTATTTTTTTTTTGTAATAAATTGACTAAAAACATTTTGAAACTCTTTTGAGATTCTTATATTGTCTCTGAATTTTTAAAACTTCATAACATAATAGATTAGCTATTTTGGAGGAGAATAATTAATTATGTAAATAAATCATTAGACTTTATAATAAATTATATAATATGAAAAAAAAAGCAATTAAGTAAAATGTATATATTTCATACATTTAAATTAGATTACGCTTTTCAATTTTTTTTATAAAATTTTATCATATATAAGTATTTAGTAAAACTAGTACCAAGCAAACTTCTCTTAAAATAAAAACCTTAAGTGGATAATATTTAAAAAAATGTCAAAGTATTATACTATAAATATTTAATAAACTTTGTAACTTAAAATATTTAAATATAAACATAGTATACAAAAAATGTTTCTTTGATTTTGTGTTATTTAGTCCCAGAGAGGTTTTACTGTATGAGGTATAGATTAGATTTAATAAAGTAACATATTAGCTATTAATGTATTAAAATCTATTGTAGTTGATTATTTTTCAGTTTTAATTTCCCGTTTTAAAGTAAATAATGTGAAACTTAAAAGTGAAGTCCATTACTAATTTCAAAACTAGAACTAGAAGTTGATCTTATTCTGAATATAAGATTGAAAGTCATTAAATTAGAAATGGACTTTACTCTTTATTATTATAAATAATATATAGAATAATAATGTATAAATAATAATTATTATCAATCTGAAAAGTAAAGTTCCAAAAATTAGAAAAATATAAATATACTGTATATAAATAGAAGTATAAATTTCTAGTCTGGTTGGTCAATCTACAAGTTGCAGGTGTCTAAATGCGTAAAATGGTTAATCATTACGGTTTAACATTATCAAGTATAACAGTAATGATTCTTATCACAAAAGAAATAAAATTTTACTCATATTAAATTTATTCACTAAGTGTAATTATTTTGGAATAATAACTTTTTAGTTTTACCTAGTTTATTATTTAATTATTACTGAAAGTTTGTGATTTATTTATTTATTAAAAATATATATTTTTCATTTAGTTATTTTATATTATTTGCAAATCTTTTATAAATGACACGACACTGATCTGATGTTTATTCTATTTGACTCTCATTCAGAAGCAGAAGTAATCAAAGATGGATGAAACTCAGAACCACAGTTCAACTGTCAAGCGCTATTTCTTCTACAATAAAAACATCGAAACCGGCTTTACAAAGAGAAGATTCATTCATCAAGCGATTCACTACTCGACAAGTGGCAGAAAAGCAGGTATTTATCTTTGATAATTAGTAAAATATTTAAAAGTAAATCATATAAGAACTTATTAAGGTTTATAAGTTTTTGTTTTAATCACATTTTAATAAGATTGATTCACTGTCTTTATTTAGTTAGAGCTGTAATATTATAAAATGCACAAGGAAATTTGATAATTATTTTGATAGTGTAGTTTATTTATTCTATTTTATTTACAGTTAATTATATTTAACGTCACCTCTATTACATGTGCCAGAGAGGAGGAAAGTTAATTTTTAATTATTGGTCATATAAAGTTGGGTTGGGTTGAAAACAGAATGTTGTTAAAAATCTTATTTATTATGTGGTATCTCCACACTATTGAGTATGATGTTATACCATTGATCAGCCTGCGATTTTTATAATATGAATTTTTTTTTTTTTTAATTAACATGAATATTTCAAGTTTAAAATTTATTTAAAGCATATATAACTCATATAGAAAAAATTATGTTTTAAACATTTATTTCCGTGTAAAACTATTAAAACCAGTTTTTGATTTAAAATAAAATATACATTTTTTGATCAAACTTTGTGTAAAATTCAAAATGTCATATAAGGAATTTGTTTAAATCTATAATTTATAGCTTATTATATATAACTAATTTAAGTAGTATTATTTTTGACTTCGGAGGTTTATTATTCTTAAAAGAAATTTCACCAATTCACATCAAAAGTGATTTTTGGCTTTTGTTCGATGACTCATAGAATCAAGATTTTGGAACCTTTTTCTTTTTTAAATGTACATTTTGTTAATTTAAAAATGATGTAGGCTAACGAAAATAGGTTTCTTAGAGCATCATGAAAAAATAGAAGAAAAAATATTATTATGGCCTCACAATACCTTGATTAATTAATGGTTATTCAAAAAAAGTATGTCGTTGGCAAGGCAAATGTTTGATATATTACCCATCAAAATTTTGCAATAATCCGTCCACTTTTCAAAAAGTTATTTCAATATAAAAATAAGAATATCAATATTAACTGTATTGTAACAATTGTAATTTATTAAGATATTTCCCTTTATTACGGGAATTAGGGTGGTTTTTTAAAAATTATGTTGCTGGTAGCTTCAATCAGATTCTTATTTTTTGACATATCGTTGATCGAAATTGGTTCAATAGAAACAGAGTTATCCAGTATAGTAAAACAAAAAAAATTACTGTAAAAAAAAAATTGTTTTTTACCAACGCCTAGAAGTCAAAATATTTAACTAACATAACTAGGAAATTCTAAAATAATAAAAATGTACAAAGGACAAAATTTTTCAAAATAAAAAATTTTAAATATTATATTTTTGTATTTTAATGACACAGTGCACTTAGAGTACGCTCAACTCTATTATCGTCTTTATTATCAAATGAAAAGTCTTTTGAATTGTGAGCGGTAGGTATTTTAAAATTCTAAAGCATCAACAACAAAGAAGATTAATTTGATTCATCAATGATAATACATATTGAAAATATCTTTATTTTTTTAATACTACATTAAAAAATATGTTTTAGAAAAAATTCAAACAAAAATATATTTTAAATGATGAGTCACACAAAACACTATTTAATTTTGGATGTAGTGTAAACATAAGTAAAAGTAAACTGACCATAAAAGTTTAAGTATCTATAAATATAAACTTCCTATTACTACATCAAATGAATGACTTTGATAACTATTTCTCAATAGTGATCCTTTTTTTAAGCATAAAAGTTCAATTAAATAATTATGAGCTAATCATTTTTTTGTTTAATAATAAATGCTAATTACCTTATATAAAATTACTGTAAGAATAATTTTTTGTAATTAAAAAATAATTAACATGTATTGATTTGACGGTATTTGATAAATAGATATGTTTTAAATGTTTTATATTAGTACTATTTAAGTCCTACAAAAGTATAAAAGATAGATGAAAATTACAAATAGAGACAAGTTTTTATTTAAAAAAAAAATTAATGCAATATTTTTTGTTAGATTAGAAATTTTTGTAAATTTTTATTTTAATTGACTTTGGTAGAAAAAGTTTTATAACAGACTCAAAAAAAAAATCGTTTTTTGTATTGAAATACTTGATCTATTATTCGTTAGAAAGAGTTATTTGCCTCATAAATTTAAAAGTCAAAGAGATATAATTTCTAACAAAATAGAAAATAAACTATGAAGTATACTTGTTGTAGACCTATACAAAGGCACATATGTTTTATTTTTAAAAATAATAATAAAAATCAATATACTATACTATACTATAACAATGTTTTAAGATAATAGTGTAATATTATTCAATTGTAACCTATTTAAGTGCACACCAACTCGTTCGGAAGACATTTAATTGACAATATAATTAAGTTTTTTTGACTAGACTGGCAAAAAAACTTTTTATTGATATTTTTTTATAAGTGATCTCAAGGTCTAGTTTCTGTTTGTAAATTGACACTTAATACATTTATATAATGGTATACCAGTAATTTTTCATTCGAAGTAAACTTTCATGACATTATTAACTTAAATAATTATCTTAACTTCCATACGAAACTATAAGTATAATTTTTTTGTATTAAAACAACAATGGGTTGTAACTTGGGTGTAGGACAGAGGTATTGTTAAGCAATACTTTTAATATCTTAAAAGCATTTATTAGTTAATTAAGATATTAGTTTATATATATTTAAATTTTTATTTATATACCTTTTCTTGCTTAAAAGTTGAAAAATTTTAATGCTACTCTTAGTACTTGTCATGCTTCTAAAAAGTATTTTACACAATTTATTATTAAAGCCTGAAACGAATGTGAGAAACTTAAGAGAGCAACTCTAGACTCCGTATAATGAGCTTGTGCGCTGTAACGTAATAAAAATTATTAACCAATATAAAATAAAAGGTAAAAATATAAATTGGTTTTAAATGTATACTCATACGTTAATGTGTATGTTGACTGTAAAATGCAATTGATTGTTGGAGGAGTGGTTAAGCAAAAAGAGTAATCCAAATTAAATTTAGATTTTGCTGGTTGGTTGTTATTTTATTATACTATACTCTTACTTTTTACTTATTACAGACAATATTTTATGTTTTCACTCTCAAAGCCTTAGAAAATCTTTGCTTTTATATTTTTGTGATTTCTATAAATGTGTTTATTTTTTCTTTTTGAACATGTTATAATGTCACGTATACATACTATAAGTATACTTATTTCAATAAAGTGAAGCATCATACTTATATTTTGTTTTATATAAAATAAATAGAAAAATTTAGTTTTCCCTTTAATTATAGATAATGATATTTTTTGCCTCTAATACAAATAGAAAATAAACGCATTTTTTTCGTCTCTCTTTTTGCGGCTATTGATTGTTTGGTAGAAAATCGTAAGCGTATCAGGATATAAGATCACGTTAAATGCTACATTATTTCTTGAAGGCAAAGAAAAAACGGAATACATATTTTATTTCAACTCGGTAGGCTGTCCGTACTTAGTAATGAGGTTGGGGATAAATAATAATAGTCTCTGATAGTATCGCACTCAATGTGCTTTTATTTATCAGAAAGAATTTCAATTTAATATCGCTACCAAACAATTATGTCCGTAAAACTGCTAAGTACAAGTATTGTTATATTTATTTTAAATACAAATACTGCAACGTCAAGGTAAACAGTAATGAGTAAAAATCACACTCGGCATTGCGTAAAAGAGCTTAAGCTCAATGTCAAATTACCTAGCTTTAAAGAAATGTATATATATATATATATAATAGTGTCAAATTCAATCACCTACATTTTAAGTTTTGATACATTTATTTTTTTTTTTAATTTCTTTTACGAATTTTAAAATTTGAATATTCTAATGATTCATTAATATTCTTCTCTCTTATGATAAATCAATTTATATATTTTTTATTTTACTTTTCTTATTTTTTCAAATTTTAATTGTTTTTTTTTCTTATAAAAACAAGCGTACGTTTAAACTAGGAAATTAACAGGAACTAAAGTAAATTCGAAACATTGAATTGAACTAAATTAACATGTGTAAACACTTTACTGATTGTGAACAAAGTTTCCTGTCTCATTCGTTCATTTCATTAGCGTTTGACTTTGAAACAAATGATAGTAAATCGAAAGCTTGTAGATTTCACAATTAAAATATTTTCAAGATAAACCACATGGAATAGAAACATTTATTGTGTACAACGTTAGTCTAAACGAGCCTTTACTCGTTTGAATAAATTTTTCATACCGACTGAAAAAATTAAATCTATTAACCAATCAAACAGCATTAGTCAAAATTGGGAGGATTAATATTATTTTATTGAAAGTTTGGATATTAATATATTAATTATATTCAACAATTTACGCAGATCGAGGTACGAAGATCTTATTAAAAGTTTACATTTCAAAAATTAACGAGGGTCCATTTGTGATTATATATTCTGATATTTTATAAATTTCATGTTTTATTATAAGCTATCAGTAGTTATAATAGTCTATATAGTATTCCAGTGTTGTATTAGCGCGAAAGTAATGATGTCTAAAGAACGCCGAGTATACAATTTGACTTTTGATATTTGTACTTAGAAAACATGACGTAATCTACTGAAAAACTGCACCTAAGTTTTATAATATTATGTCGTTGCCATTGGTCTTCCTCACCGATTTTTAAATTTTTGCGTCGACAGTTTTCATGATAACATGTAACAAAATACTTCAAAAACAGATGTATCAAACAAATTAAGAATACCAGAGTGAAATTCTCGAGAGTCCTCTGTGAAACGCGAATTATTTAAACAAACCGACATGGTTGTGATGTTAAGAGCACATACACACATACAAAGTATGCGATAAAAATCATCGAACGGAACGGTTTGGGTAACCGATCAAATTTGAAACGTCAATATTGAAAAAGCGTATTTAATTCGGAAGAAGTTTTATTGTGATGTTGAATAAACCAGGTGAAACATCATTAATCAGTTGACACATTGATATTTGATGAG